GAGGCGAGGCGCGGCGAGGACGCGTCTGATAGCGGCGAGGCGAGGCACGGTGCGGCGAGGTCGCGTCTGATAGTGGTGAGGCGCGGCGCTGCGAGGTCACGTATGGTAGCGGCGAGGCGCGGCGCGGTGAGGTCTTCGATGGAGACGACTGCGCGAGGACGTTGGCAGTTCACGGCGCGGCGGGGTCGCGTCTGGTAGCGGTGAGGCGCGGCGGTGGCGGTGGCGCGTTGCGAGGAAGCGACAGTGGAGGGAATTGTTTTTCAATTTGACATTTTAGGGTTTCTGAAATGCAGAATTGGAGAATTAGGTTTTTCAGATTTGGGATTTTTGTTAGGGTTTCAGCCATTCATCTCATTTCAGTTTTGTTATCTGAGTGTGTTATCTGAGTTTGTGAAACAATTTGTTATCTGAGTTTGTTTGTGAAACAATGTTATCTGAGTTTATGAAACAGCTTGGTTATGTCTTCGGATTGTAGAGGGGTCTTGTTCATCTTTTAAGGTTTTTCAGTTTTGGGTATTTGAAATTAGAATCTGGGATTGAAATCAAAATAAAAAAATAGATCTTACTGCCTCGGTTCAAGTTCTACCCGAGGCAGTAGAGACAGACAAAATAACTCGGTCCATAACCGAAACAAAAAGTCTACAATTTTTTGTCTCGTCTGAATACGCTCCGGTTCAAGAACCGGTGCAAATGATTAAAATTAACCGGTGCGAATGCCCTTCCTTGTATTAGTGATTATCTTTAGTTTATATTTATCTTTTATCTTTTATCTTTAGTTAGTTTGTTATTATTTTTTATTTTGTACTTTAGGCTTAACCCATATTTCTTCTATTATAAATAAATGACCCTACGTGTATATTAAACAAAAGGGTGATTAATTTCATATATGGTTTTCAATATATTTAACTTGGTATCAAAACGGGTCGATTTGGCTCTTGTTTCTTTCTCGTATCATCTGTCTGGTGTCATTTTCCGTCACCGTCCACCACCGTCGGCCACCATCACAGTTTTGTTTGTCTAAACCCTAAGAGTTTTCTTATTCCTCGTTGGTGCAATTCATCTTCTTCAGAGATGGTGTCTGGCAATACTCTTTCCTTTTCTAGAAGTCCATCAATTACCTCCGAGAAGTTAAATGGAAAAAATTATATATCATGGCTTGCTGCCGTTGAAATTTAGTTCCTTGTCCAAGGGCATTATAACCACCTCGAGCAAGATGAAAGCCATGTGTCTGTTGAAAAAGCTAATAAGTGGAAACAAATAGATTTCTAGTTGTGTGCCTTGTTATTGAAATGAGTGGAACCCAAACTTCTTATTATCTCTGAGGCTTTTAAAACTTGTCACTCCTTTTGGAAGAAAGCTCAAAGCATTTATGAGAACGATATTCAACTTCTCTATGACACTGCAAACAAGCTTGCATCTCTTAAAGTGGAAAACCATGATATTGTGTCCTTCATGATTGAAGCCCACTGTCGAAGAACTTAGGATGTTTTTGAAAGAGGACGCATTAGAGGATCAAGAAGAAGCTAGACAAAATTTTACATGGTGTTGATCCTTCGTGTCCTACATCCTGATTTTGATCATCTTAGAGATCAACTTCTTACCAATTATCATGAGATCCCCTCCATGGAAACATTGACCACTCGCCTTCTCTGTGTCCCGGTACCTCAAACTCATGAAGCGCATGAACTAGTGGAGTCATCTGTCATGGTTGCCACACGAGGAAGAGGAGGACGTGGCATTAGAGGAAGAGGACGAGGACGTTGGGGACGTCTTCAATGTAACATCCCGATTTTTCGGATGTCTCGAGTATGAGGAAAAAATTGAAACTTAAAAAAAAACATAATATCATTGCAGAAATCAACTTATATAATACCGAAATTAATAAAATCAAAACGAAATAAAGCAAACTCAATTACATTGTTTCTAAAATTTATAGCACAAAAACTTTAAATAACCCAAGTCATCTTCCCACTCTCGCGTCTCTATCATGCATTTAGAGCATCTGTAACATCCCCTACTCCCGTATAACCAAATGTCATATGATCATCGCAAAAACACACAAACAACCACAACACAAAAAAATATGGGTAAGCTACCACAACACAACCAATGACAATAAAATTTGTACATGGGAAACAAGCACAACTTAATAACAAATCAATCATCTACAGCGCTATTCTACTAACATAATCATTTTGACACGCTTACCATCATCAGTATCCTCATTAATCCTATCACGATTATACCATCAACGTTATCCTATCAATAACGTCTTCAAAACATCGTCACTACAAATTTCCATTATCATAAAGAAGGACCTTGATCTGTGTTCTGTACCCAACCATACCACTTGTAGCTTCCCCATACAGGTTCATAAAAATATCGCTTGTAGCTTCCACATACAGACTCATAAACATACCACTTATAGCTTCCCCATACATGCTCATAAACATACCACCTGTAGCTTCCCCATACATGCTCATAAACATACTACATGTAGTTTTCCCATACAGGCTCATAAACATACCACCTGTAGCTTCCCCATACAGGCTCATAACCATATCACTTGTAGCTTCCCCATACAGGCTCATAACCATATCACCTGTAGCTTCCCCATACAGGCTCATAAACACACGGTAGATAGTTCAAAACTCAGGATTTACTAGGTACAAGATAGACACATCCTTCTCTTTAAGTATATACCCCTTTCAAGACCTCAACTCCACTCTTAAAGTATTAAAATTCATAACTCAATCTATGTATCTTTTGGTTTTAAGTCTCACAATCACAAAAAGTCAACCAAACAAAATCAATAGTCAAAGTTGTCCTACCTTTTAGAATATATTTTTATTAAGGTTTAATACCTATTTTGGTCCCTCGGTTTGTGAGGTTTGTTCAAAGTTGTCCTACCTTTTTTTAGACATTCACAATTATCCCATATTTTGTAAAAAATGGTTCGAGTTGATCCTTTTTGCTTACGGCGTTACAAAAACTAACGGAACTTAGCTAACCTGTACAATCTTTAATTACGTGGCAACTGTGTGGCCTAATTGACGTGGCACCTAGTATTTCAAAATAAATAGGGTTTACTTCTTCACCCAAAAACCAAGGAGCAATGCCAACACCACCGTACCGTTGTGGTGCAACCGAAGACGTCATCGACATTGTGTTTGGCATCGCCGTCGGTGACACTCCCATTCTTCCTACTCTGTGTGCTCACTCTCTTATGTCAATTTCTATGTTCCAAGAAAGAAAAACAAACTCGAAAAAGCAAATAACTGCCCAAATTTGGAAAACTTCACGAAAAGGAAAAGTGGATTTGAATAATCAAAAGGGGAAAAAATTTGAATTGATTCATATTTGGAGGAATAGAGAGATACCCATTAAAGGAAAAACAAAGGACTATTATATACAATCCAAACCACCCACACACCATCTTATTCACCCACAATTCAATTACTAGAAAATCTATTAGGGTTTAACTTACAGGTATATTAAATCATCAGTACTTAAAAAAGTGAAAAAATGTTATGAATAAAAATACAAATATGTGTATGTAAAATCTTTAACTGATATAAAATACTTTTTAGGAAAAGTAACATGTTGAAATGGAGAAACAGGAGAAAAAAGAAAAAAAAGAAAAGAAGAAAGATGAAAGGCGAAAGCGCAGACTGACAATTGTATATAATCTGTGGGTGGTTGTGACAAAGATATGAGAAAGCCCTTACTCATGGCAAAGACCCTCGGACAAAAGCGAATCAATAATTTACAACTTCCACTTAATTTATTTCTGCTCAAATTAAATAGTCCGAAATAGGGGAAAAATGTGTAGACATCAATTATGCTCTCAGTGAGTTTAAAAATGGCTTCGCCGCTGGCTCGGAGAGTGCGACAAAGATCACCATCGGTGAAAGCTCCAATCAGATGATGGCATAAACAACCTTGCACAATTATCTCAATCTCCCAGTACATAAACAACCTGAATTTCTCAATCCATGGAAGGTCAAAATTCATGGGTAATTGACTCAGGTGTTTCTAATCACATTTCTGGTAATACCTCTTTGTTCACATATATTTACTTTCGAGAAAAAAATCATTTCATAACCCTTGCAAATGGATCTAAAAATTCCTCCAAAGGAGTTAGTCATGTTTCCTTGTTTCCCTCCCTCAATCTCAACTCTATCCTTTTTTTCCCTAATTGTCCTTTTAATTTATTTTCCTAAGTCAATTGACCAAAATGTTAAATTATTCAATAACCTTTGATCACAAATATTTTGTTATACAAGAGTGTGGTTCGGGGAAACATATAAAGCGCTACATTCGACTTGGCCATCCTCATTTGTCCAAATTAAAAAAAGATATGTCCTGAACTTAATGGCCTCTAGACCTTAGAATTTGAGTATGTCAATTAGGAAAACATGTTAGATCTTCCTTTCCTAAAATGTCTCAATCAATATGTAATTCTAGTTTTTCCATCATCCATTATGATATATGAGAACCTAATCGTATCTCCTCCTTTGGTTTTAGATATTTTGTTACCTTTATTTATGAATATTTAAGATTTACTTGTGTTTATCTTATGAAAAATCTTTCTGATTTGTTATCTATCTTTACATCCTTTTTGAATGAAATCAAGAATCAATTTGGTCAAGTAATCAAAATATTAAGTGATAATGCAAAAATGTATTTCTCATCCTCCTTTTCAACCATCTTGAGTTCCCATGGTATCTTACATTACTCTACTTGTCCTCATACACTACAAGAAAATTGTACAACAAAACGAAAAAATACACTTGGTTGAAATTGTCCATACCCTTTTGCTTGGTGTCCATATTCATGTTCATCACTAGGAGGACGTCATCTTAACTGCATGTTATCTTATTAATTGGATGCCCTCCTCATCTCTTGGTAATAAAGTCCCTTTCTCCATTTTGTTTTTTAATGATCCTCTCTTTCATACATCTTCCCAAGTGTTTGGTTTTGTATGTTTTGTTCATGACATGTCCCCAGGTCTAGACAAATTCTCCGCTCGCACTTTCAAATGTGTCTTCTTAGGTTATTCTTTACTCTAATAAAGGATATCAGTGTTATTGTCCTAAAACTAAGAAGTATTACATGTCTGTTAATGTCACGTTCTTTGAATAGACTCCTTACTTCTATCCATTTGTTTAGGATGTTTCTATCCTCTAACAGGTTCTTCCTATTTCAGTGGTTGTGTCAAATAGCTCCCATGTCCTTGTCATTCCATGTCTTGATCTCAGTCCTCCTACACCTGTTTCTCTACATACTAAAATCATCCCACACAAGGCCGCAATGGATAGTCCACCTCCCCAAGACAATGTTTAATCTCTTACTTCAGATTCTTCTCCCTCGTCACCTTCTCCCACGCCTCCTAGTGAAAATGATTCAGCATGGCCTATTGCTCTTAGAAAAGGTACTCGTTCTACCCGAAACCCTCATCCTATTTATAATTTTCTTAGCTATCATCGATTGTTGCACTCCTATTTTTCTCTTTTATCCTTAGTGTCTTCTGTTGTTATACCCAAGAATGTGAAAGATGCACTTGATCATCTTGGATGCCGACAAGCTATGATTGTAGAAATGTAGGCTCTTGACCACATTAATACTTAGGAGCTGGTGCCCCTTCTCCCGGGCAAAATGACGGTTGGTTGTCAATGGGTGTATGCAATTAAAGTTGGCCTTGATGGTGAAATTGATCGACTCAAAGCCCGACTTGATGCAAAAGGTTACACTTAGGTTTATGGTCTTGATTATTATGACACTTTCTCTCTTATAGCCAAGATGACTATTATTCGCCTCTTCTTTGCCACGATAGCCATTCGACACTGTCCACTTCATTAATTGAATATCAAAAATGCCTTCCTACATGGTGATCTTGAGGAAGAAGTTTATATGGAACAACCTCCTAGGTTTATTGCTCAAGGGGAGTCTGGTACAATACGCAAATTCCATCGATTTGTACATGGCCTCAAGCAATCACCACGTGCCTGATAATGGTTGAAAATACCATTATCTGTGATGTAATTTTGATACTAAATGCACCCCTTTCTACTTAATAGAGTCGAAAGAAAGTAGAAACTAGGCCCGATCCATGAAACACAACGCTCAAGCGCCCCATTTAGGGCGCCTGGGTGGTGGACGGTCCTCATGTAGGGCTTGAGCCTTCAATTGGACGCCCAAACTTCAAGGCCTGACGCTCAAGCGCCCCAAGAGGGCGCCTGGATAGTGGACATTGATTTTTTGCGCTCAAGCCTCCAAATAGGGCGCCCAAGCCTCGCGGACTGCATTCTGGTTGACCTTTCTCCACTCTGGTTGACTTTTCTACACTGTGGTTGACTTTTCTGCATTCCAACTATTTAGTACTTTAACTCTTTGAAAACAGTTGAAAAACTGTTATTTTTATACTTAAAATTGACTTCAATTACATCCTTTATGACTTAGAAATTAGCTTGAACTCATGATTTTGTTGAATTTTTGGAAATAACAGAGTTGGATAGGTTTTATGCTTGATTTCCTTATTTTTTCAGGTTTTTAGATGAAATTGATGAAAGAAATGAAAAGGGATAGAGATGGAATCAAAGAAGGACAAGAAAAATGCAAAAGAGGAGAAAACAAAAGTATCGCTCAGCGCCAATTACCGCTTAGCGGCACTC